GTAACCGACACTTAACCCTTCAACGAGCCATGCTTGCCGGGAGTAGGCATCACTGCATCTCTGGTTCTCATGGCCCAGGATCAGTAAGTCGAGTCCACTGTTCTCAGCATGGCACGATGGCTACCGTTCCCAACCATCCATATCACCCACGCATTTTGCGAACGCTATTCTTTCCACCTTTACTGCGGGCCTCCGCCCACCCGGCCAGCCGGACCGGTTTTAGGGCTAAGTGAATGGCACATGGCAGGCTGAGATGGTCCCCAAAATAGCACGGGAAATAAATAACGTCGAAAATAGCGTCAGGCTCCGACGGAGCAGTGATCTGCTGGTTTGTTTTTTTCAGCTACGATATCTTCAGGACGCGTCTTGAAATGCGAGTTTCAACAAACACTTCGTAACAATAGCACGTTGTGAGCGCTGGCAGATCTTTCAGCGGTGTTCGAGCGAGAGAACCGCGACAATGCGATAGGAGCTTTGCCATCACGAGTGCGACACAATGCATGCGTGACATATTTGATATTATACAAGGCAAAGAATAGTCCACAACCATGTCCTCGGCGTTTAGTTACCCAGCTGAATAAAATGAATACACCCCCAAAACGTCCAGTTATTACACAAACTGAAAGCTAAAATTCTGGTCGCAGATGCACAGCGCCGATGCAAATGGCAACATCGGCGTACCATTTGCACCTTTATGGCTACTTGGCGTCATGATCTTTCTTCTTTTCTGAAGGTTGCGCACCGCGCACACCTTTATCCTGAAGCATTTTATAATGCAAAGAATCTTGTGCAGAACACCTCCTTGCAACCTGTCATTCTGGAGCAATAATCTATGAAACATTGTAGAGCAATTCATGATTTAGCAGCATGAAGATCCGGAGATTCATTTCCGGAGTCCTCAAAGGCGCGGCGTGTACCATATCCATCAAGCGGAGATCTGAACCACGTGAAAACATCTCCCGTAAATGGTGGTACCTAATGTTATGCAAACACGCCCTTATCTTCACCCGCTCCGACTCCGGTACCTCTAGCTAGGGTAGACTTGCATTTCGTACCTTGGCACAAAGCTTAAAGTTTGGCGCCGAGCTCAACTTTATGAACCACGAGGGACCTAAAATAAATGTAGGGCGCCTGAAATATGCCTAAAGTCAGGTCATTTGCGGGGAGCTTAGTAAACCCACCCACTCCCGGCCGCCTGCGTCAGGGGTCGTTTAGAGCGAGGAGGGCTCTGAAAAGCGCTGCTCGGCCCAAAGTACCCCCGTGCGCTGTCACTAAGCAGGAGAGCATTACACGGCACCTGCGGTGAGTGGGACGCACTCTGTCTGTATAGGCACCGCAGGGATGCGGAGGCAGTTTGGCAGATTTCGGTCTCCGTTGCTGCGCGGTGGCACGCTCCGCCGCGCTGCAGATGTGGTCGCTGACGTGAGAGGCGAACTGGAGCTGCAAAGACTGCAGCATCACCTGCGGCCCCATGGGAGCCTGCCAGTCGGCCCAGTAACGGTGTCTGCAGTGATCAATACCGGCCAAGGAGGCCGATCAGTGCGGTGCTAGCCTTCAGCGATCAGCTTCAGCGCGCGTGTTCAGTTACCACAGCGTGAACCACTGAACCCCGGGACTCAGACGTGCCTCGCAGGCTTGTGCTGCTACAACAGACGTGCTAACGACTTATGCGTGACAGCGAAGATTGTCGTGGTCCTTCTGTTTGTGTCGGCACTTTTCCAAGCGCAGACGCCTCTTGAGAGCCCGCATTGCTGAAACGTTATGAAAACAGGCACCTCTCACGCGAAGCGAGAACGAACCCAGCCGCGTCCTGTCATCGCCACCCATCCACTCCATCAAAGCATTCCAACTACACCGCTGCTGTAACATGAAAAGCCAACCTCTCAAGACACCGGTATCACCGCGGGTCACAGGTCACGCGGCGACCAACCTCTCAAGACACCGGTGTCGCCGCGGGTCACAGGTCACGCGGTGAGACCGAGCCGTGGAGGAGCGCGGCGGCGTGCTGCGGCGCAGCTGCTCGCTGTCGGCACCGCCCGGCCAGGAGCGGCTCGGTATCGCCGCGGGTCACAGGTCACGCGGTGAGACCGAGCCGTGGAGGAGCGCGGTGGCGTGCTGCGGCGCAGCTGCTCGCCGCCGGCATCGCCCGGCCAGGAGCGGCTCGGTATCGCCGCGGGTCACAGGTCACGCGGTGAGACCGAGCCGTGGAGGAGCGCGGCGGCGTGCTGCGGCGCAGCTGCTCGCCGCCGGCACCGCCCGGCCAGGAGCGGCTCTTTATTCGCCTTCGCCAGCGCTCACGGCGAGTCAGTCAGCGCGGCCGCAGGCTGTGCCGGTGGGGCAATAACTCGACCGGCCGAATATATGAGGGCGATAATTCGCCGCTGATGGCGCCGCCAGAGTTAGGGCGGCCGCCCGAGGAGCGGCGCCGCCGGCGTCGCCGCTGGAGCTGGAGCTGAGCGGGGCTGAGAGGAACATGGAGCCGGAGGCACTGTGTGAGCGGGTCAGAATCAGGAGGTCTTCTGCGGCAAGCGCTCGCTTTAATTTAGCGTTGGGTTGTGACAGTTCGAGCCTAGTAGTTAAATGCATGGATATAAAACGTTTGGAATGAAGTCGCGTTGATCCCTGGGGATGGAGAGACATATCTTCTTCAGCTGTGAATGGGACCAGCCCCTCCACGTGCCGACCGATGCTCAGCCACGATTAACCTTTAAGAGACTGAAGCACAAACGTTGGGGCTCGAATTCATGGTGAATCACGAAAGGAAATCTGTTCCATGAAACGTCTTTGAGTGCTCAGAGCATTCCTCGTACTATAGTTTGCACGATGCGCCTTCGCGTGGGCTGTTGCCCGACGTACAGTCCAGCACCCACACAGCTGACTCCGCTAGTCCCCGGGGCCGGGCGCGCAATTTATCCTGCCGACGATGCATTTTATTGGCGCAATTTAATCAGGGCGCCATGTGTAGACAGCACAGCACGTGGCGGACCCGACTGTTTGTGCCCGGTACACCTGACCCGGCCACCCAGCCTAGCCTCAGCACCGCCCGACGGTCGTGTTGCCGCGCCCGACCGCGACGCGCCGCCGCCGGCTCCCGACGGGGCCACTGGTCCGACGGCTCATTACGACCGGCATGCCACGGCGTCAGATTAGTGCTCTGGAAATCACAACGTTACTCTCGGCGGCTGGGAGTGCGTTGGCAGGCCAGCGTGCCGCCGTCTGGACCAGCTGGCGCCGGGAACAAAGGATCTGCAGTGCGCAGCGCTGGTCGGGTTTGACGTCCGCGTGCTGTTCGCGTGGTAGAGTCGCTGTACAGTCATGACTTCGGAGCACTTGCTGATTGGAAACGGGGCGACTTGTCTGAATGTGTGGCGTTCCCTGCGATTATTGTGCCCGGGACGTTATGGCAATGGGATATGTTCTTTGAGTGAAGCCTGAGATTGCCAATTTCAGAATCACGCTTTTGATATTGGCGGTCAAAATCGAAGACGCCCTCGGCTGTATAGAACACGAAACGACTTCAGGAAGCTCTCAACCCGTTAGCCAGCGACTGTACAGTGGATACACGTGCACTGTTTGGTCATAAGATGGCATCGACGTTTGCAGAGCAATATCGCGCATGGCTGTTCGAGTTCAAGTTCGATAACGTCTATGACAAGTTTGAAGAGTGAGCCGATTAGTATGCAGCTGGAGTGGACAGCGGGTGGCTGGTGTAACCGGACTTCCGACAGCAGCAAAATGGCGCGTTCACTCTTCGGCCGCGCGGGCACTGCGGGCGGCATTTGAAGACGATTCAGACTGCAGATGCGGTTCTAAGCTCTGACTGGGAGTATTGCTTGTTGGCCTCGTGTAAACGTGACAAAATGGTGCGTGGCCTGCGCACCATTCGTTCGGCAACATGGGGATTTCCAGAAGAGTGGCCTGAGTGGCGCACATTTGTGTTCAGATAAAGAGAAACGATAAGTGACTCAACACAAGAGAGCGAAAAATGCTGCCTTAAATATCGTAGGCTCTCTGATGTGCATAACAATGGCAGGTCGTTTGATTTTACTCACGACCGGATCTGGCAACACAGCAGGTATCGGAACCATGGTCTTGAATGCACATAGACATGGCCAAGGGGTGCCAAGGGGGCCATCACCCTGAGGCAGAGGCTTACGCTAGGTATTTGGTGATTTTACAGAAATTTTGTCCAACTTTTTCAAGTTTGAGTCCAGTTTGTTTTGGAGGATGTTTCTCAAAAAGAGTAAGTCGGGATGATGCCGAGCCGCCAGTTCAGATGCAGGCGGCGGTTCGGCTCCGATCCACGTGCCGACACGAGGTCGCACCAGCCCCCCCCCCCTCCCCTCCCTCCCCCACGCCGACGGCGGACGGCCGACGGTCGGCGAGGCTGTCCCGGAGCGCTGGGCTGCTGGTGTCTGCTGACCTCGGAGATGTGCTGATGTCAGATGACGTCAGAGACGCGCCGATGTCAGCTGACGTTTGAGAGGTGCAGATGTCACCGTGCGCCCGGCATATTCTGACGTCCGCTCACGTCGGGACATCGTCTCCTCGATGACACCCACTCAGCCCGGCGCGACCTTCAGCAGACAGAACGCCCGGCCGGCAGGTCCCAATTCCAGCATGCGTGGTGGTGTTCCAGCGCAGTATTCAAATAGAATATACCGATATTGCCTTGCATTTGTTGTGGTTTATTTAGTGCTTCCAATCTGGTTTACAGAATGCCCGCCAACTGTTGTTTTTTTGGTCAGCGTAATACCATTTGTCCCTTGAATCGTTATATATATATATATATATATATATATATATATATATATATATATATATATAAACGTATGCTTCTAGGGCATGTGAGTAACCTTGCGGAGATACGTCACGGACTAATCGAGATCGACGTCCATCCCTCTCCCACCGATGCCTGACTGGCAGCTGGCTCTGTCGTTAGCCTGGCGTCAGCCGCGGATGCGCGGTGGTCGCTCATGCCGTGGGTGTCGCTGTTGCAG